GACATTCTTTCTGACAGTGAGAGCCACGTGTGCTTCTCCTGGTAAGGCTACATTTTTTAAGTTTCCTTGACATAACAAGCTTTATATGTGAGTATGTGATTTCGCGCTTCCAAAATATTATAATGGCGGCAGCGTGACAATCAATCGTACCAGCAGTGCTGCCACTTTCACGCATCCGCGATTCCAAAGACCATCCGGAGAACTCTTCGGCCGACATGGCGGAGCAAGATGGAGCAAGAATATTTGGCTATGGAAGTCTTTCTTTCTTTTTCTCTCTCTGTAGATCGAATCATCTCGGTGAGATGTGGAGGATCTCTGTATTCTTTAGTATGCGTGTAGCCACTTTCTGCATTTGTTCAAGCCAATGGCTTGTGGCAGTGCAAATAGATGCAAATAGCAGAGTCATCTGCAGCCTCAAGATCACTTAGTTACATTTTTCATTGCCCCCCCCCTGCAATAATTAAGTAGACATCCGAAGTCTCAAAATGTAAGTTACCCACGTGGGAGGTCCCAATGTTACATTTATTGGGCCCCCCCCACCCCCTCCCAAACAGTTCACCGTACATACCTGGGAGGTCCCTAACTTACAGTTTTTTTTGGGCTGGGGACCCCCCGAAAATCGTAACTTACATTTTGGGAGGTCCCCCCCCCAAAACCATGGTTAGTGGGGTAGGGATGTTTTCATGTGTGTTTATCATATTTTCCACTTGGATTGGCCTGCAAACAGACCCCCACAAGTCCGCTTCGACTTGCCTGAAATGCAGGTTTTGAAGGGTGAAAACCAGACTTGTGGGGCTCCTTTTTCGCAGGCCAATCCAAGTGGACAATTATTAGCAGTTCATATAAATCGAGTTTCATGTTTTGTGTGCTCGCTGTGTGTTTGCTTTTCCTTCATGTGCTTAATGTTTTATCATGTGTTTAATCTTTTGAATTCATACAATTTTTGTTTTGTTTCATGGTTCGGGGTTTGTAGTGTTTTCCCTATATGTTAAGTGCATAAGTTTCATGGTTATCATATGTTCTATCAACATAACTGCGAAGAAATCTATGTAAACCAAGAATTGCCTCTTGCAAAAAAACTTGCCTCTCAGTTCCTAGAGGCGCCTTCTAGGTTAGAGGCGCAAAAAGTGCAGCCCTAGGAAGATTCAGGTATATTGTGATTATTTTCTTGGGGGGGCATATATATATATATTATATGGCCATGCAGTCAAACTGAGGGGGCCGCAAGTTCTGCGGGGGCTGCAAGTTTAGAACCTCCTCGAACACTACGCACTGGAAACACCGACACATACCGAAAGCTGGGCGATGGTTTTCAGTCCTTTTCGCAACGAGATATAGTCCTTCCCGAAATTCTCGGCCTTGCGGTCAGGGTGGCAGTGGCCAGTCCCTCCAAAGGTCTTTGGGAGGTTCCTCCAAATTAGCGTATCGCCAGGTGGCACCACCACGGGCAAGAAAGCACCTGAAGTATCATCTGAGAGAGAGTACTGCTAGATAGACCTGATATCTATTTTCACCCATTTTCAACCTGGGTCCCCACCTCAAAGGCTGCGCGCGCACGGCCGGGTCCGCGCACCTCAAGAATTTGAACTGGAATCGATATCAATTTAAGTTATAATATATACATGGTTTGGATATGTTTGGATCAAACATGAACCTGTTCGGGTGGCAGGTTGACGTAGGTTGACCCTATCATACCATATGCCATGTGCCGTAGAGGGAGGCTTCTTTACGGCGTGCCAAGATCATTTTTGATTGACAACTCAACTCACGCTTGCTGAGTCAGAGTCCACTGGGTGTCGCACAAAGTCATTGCTGCTTCTCGCCATGGCGCTGGCTTTGTGCACCGGTGCACCGATTGCTTATGAGACTGGCCAAACGGGGCCTTCAAAGTAATTACAGTACAAAGCAACATGACCAGTGAACATCATATTCAAGTATCTAGTTTAGAAAATGTAACTACTTATCGATATTAGACTGAAAGTCACCCTCAAAATCATCTCGGCCTCCGATCTGTGATTCTTCAGGTTCATTTTGGTCATGGTTCGTCCAAATAAAACCCTTTTGCATACCAAAGGTTTTGGGCCCATGACCTCAAAAACGCTGGTGATCAAGTGAAACGCACATGGAGCGGACCCCTTCATTCAGGTCATCTGTTCCGAACAGTTCGCTTCGACCACACGGGCCGAAAGGTCGGGCCGAAGAGTGGACCACCGGTTGGGACGTCTTCAGAATGACGTGGGCATACTTAGGATGCTTGTGGATTCTTGTTGGGGGATTGATACTGTTTTTTCCCCGTCTGTTTCATGGCCATGTCCATGCCATTTCCCAAGCAACGTCCCAACGGTATGGTAGGGTAGTCCATGCTTTCTCATGCAACGAAGGGCCATGGTTGGGAAGGCAGCAAAGATCTTCAGTGGCATTGCGAGGAAGAACGAGTCCAGCCAATGGACACCCTCAAAAGCCTAGCTTGGCACAGCACTGGTCAAACATCAGCATGTTATACCATGTTTATCCATGTTTCACTTGTGCCCCTGAAAACCGATGGGATCACCCAACACACTCCACAAAACTAAGTGTTTGGTGACGTGATCACGCGTGACTGCGTGACAAAGGTCGCGCTTCCGGTGTCTTCCGCACTCGTTGGATCTTTTCGCCGAGCGACCGCACTCACCGACCGGCACCACCGACCGTTTCCGGCAGCACAAGTTCGCCGTCCCACCCGAATTCCGCTGGTCCCACCCATTGGTGAGACCGGGGGGCAACGGTGAGACGTGGTGAGACGGCGGTGGGGTTGGTTCCCTCTTCGGTGGAGCTCGCCCCTCTTGGCTGCTTGAGGTGGTGCTTTTTCAGATTGGTTGAAGAGAAATGAAGAGGACACAAACGTGGGAGACTGATCTTCACCATTCTTCAACCCTCCCACACTCAACTCGCGATCAATCCGCTCACCCCTCAGAAGCCCTTCCACACAGTGGGTGGTTCGTTTTAACACAAAAACATGGATGGGACCATGGTGGGACTGTTTGTTCCAGCAGTGTCACTCGACGATTCCAAGCTAGTCCATCGATGGCTCCTGCGCTCAACTTGTTATGTTATGTTCTGTGGCCCAGTCTGGCTGCCTGGCTGCAGTTGAAACATGTCGCACACCAAACTTAGGACTAGAGCCGGCCGGGATTGTCTGGAGGCAAAAACTTTTCAAGTGCATGAATATCCTTATTTTGCTGCAAGCCAATCCAAGAGGGGTGACACAGAAACGGGTGAAAGATCTGCTTTGCATCCTACATTGAGGCTGCAAAACAATGAAAACAACTGATGCTCAATCCTACAGCTTCAGATCCATATACATCCCATACTCCTTGTCTTTCCTCCGCCTCACGCCAAGGCGCCTCTGCGCCCAGCCGTAAAGGCCGCGGCCGAGCGCACTTGGAAGCCTCGGGAGACCCGTCACGCATCTCACCGGACGGACGTCACACGAGGCATCCACAGACGTCGCGGCAAGAGTCACAGACTGTGTAGAGATCCTGGGCATCCCAAACGAGTCTTCATGGTGTAGAGATCTTCGTGCAATTCCTTGACTGTTTGAGCACCCAACCTGGAACGATTGGGAATCGAAAGGTTGGAAAAGAGTGGCTTTCGTGGCTTGCTTCGAAGGCATTGGATTTTCAAGATAAATTGCAAGCACATGAATTCACCATGCAACTCTAATTCTAATGTGCAAAAAAAAACAACTGCAAAGTATGATTTGCAAATCGTTCTTCCTCTACACAATTCAGATTAATCTTACGATTTGATTCGAGATTGGAGCTGTGGACAGTCGATCATAGTCTATAGTCGAGCTGTAGACATATATAGTTTCATGTTTAAAAAAAACATGAGTTGACTGAGTTGACTGGTAAAGAAAACCAGAAAGAAATAAGAACTCCTCCTTTGAATAATCATATTCACCGGTCTAAAAGGCGGGTAAAACGGTCTTAAGGTTCCGTCCCCCAGTTCCGTCCCTGCCTTTTGAAATCCTTTCTTACGCCATCCAGCATGGCAGCTATGAGAGGTTTGGCAGGCCTCGGCGGTTTTTGGTAGAACCCGACCGATGCCAAGTTGTGATGAGTGTTTTTCTCCCGTCGGCTTTGCAGTTTCGCGGCCGGAAGATGAAACCATAAGAATTGCTGGTGACAGGTGAGAGTCGGTGACAGTGGCAACATCCATCAAGTCTGTGGCAACCTGAGGTGCCACTAAATCCAAAAACATCATCTGCCAATGACAACGAAGAACTTGTAGAGGTGGCGAAGACATCCCCAACACGGAGGACCAGCACCATGCTGCACCGAAGAAACTTGGGGACATCTGGAACATCACTTTTGGCGCCTATTGATGCTATTGATCACCAAAGCTTGAGAACACACACAAAAAGTAATAATCGTCGCATGCCCCTTGAATGGGATGCCGAGGGTAGCACAATCAATGCACAAACATCGCGTAAAACGTCGACATGCCGGACCCACGCATTTGCCGAATCAAAACTCATTTAGTGAGAAGGACCCTCTGGGAATGACCCAACATGTCCACGAGTCATAGTGGGCCAAAGAATGACCTGTTATAGAATATATAAGAAGAAAACATATTATATAAGACTCATAGTCTTTACAAAAATGCAAAATTCAGAAGACATATTATATATATATATAGACCTGTTTTTTGGAAGAGCCAACGAGAATCACCCCCAATACTCGGGGGACCCGTCGCATTGGTATGCGACCCGTCTCACAGCTCGCCACGTGACCCTCGGTCCACCACCGCACAACAGCAGCCGCCATCAAACCTGGCTGGGTCGATCCAACGAAGTCGCTGAGGTCCACGCCAGGTGATCATAGTTTGCACAAGTTTGCACCCTCCACTTTTGCAACTACTACAGTGCAAGCGGGGCCCAAAACCATGGCCAACATCATCGAACATCTCTGATCTCCAGCCTCTTTAGGCCTGCATCCTCACCCTGCTGGCTATATTTCTTAGCCTCAGTGGAGGGGCGATGGCAGAGATCCAAATCTCCACCAATGACGCCCGCCCTCTTTGGCGAATGTGCTTGGGGTGGTTTCATACTCGAGAAGACAAAACCTGGAGGACCGGGTTAAGTTCACCTGTGGCCACTGCGGCTTGCACAATTTGCATCACTCTTTCCTGCAAGCTTCCAGTATAGACTTATCGTACGCAGTTGCGCTCCAGATGTGGCAGCACCTTTTATGAAACGACTTTGTTTTTGTAACACTGCCTGGCAGTCTAGTGAAAAAATGTTCACAGCGCCTTAACACTCCATCACTTTCAGTTCCAATACTTTAAAATCCAATTGACGGAGTCTGTGGGCAAGTGCTTCCACAAGCTTGTTGGGATCAACGTCTTTTGCAGGCTCAGGTTCTTCCATATGCTCCTCTTCCAACGAACTGCACGCACTCTCACAGCGCCATGCCAGTACAAAAGGGTAAGCGCTCTCTTGGTAACACCCAACCCGTTGCAACGCGAACATCACATCTTTCATCGAGCTGGAAGATCAGGGTGGTCAGGGCAGCTCCATCATGTGTCCTGCTCAGATCAAGCAAGCAGCAAAAGTACGTCGACCAGGCCGGCCTGCTATAGCTCTATGGTTCCCTTCTGTCATTATCACAGTCAAACATACTATCAGAAGTTATGTCTAACAGGGTGTCGGCAGCGTGTCGCGGGCGCAGGTTCGTAAAATTTCGCTCCGTGGTGCTTGTCTCTGACTACATCGACTGCCAGAAGTTGGGTATATCAGGCGAGGAGTCGTTTACCCGTTCCTACGTGCTTTGTTCTTCCTTTGTCTACTTTGTCTGCGCCTCGTTCAAATCTTCCTCTTGTTTCATGTTGTCTTTTTTTGACCTTCCTCCTCGTCTTGCTTTGTTCTTATTGTTGTTTTCTTATATCTTCTTATTCTGTCTGTTCCAAGGGAACAAGGGTTTAGTATGGCTCTCTTCTGTCCCTATCTCCATCAAATAGAAATGTCAGAAGTTGTAATATATATATATATATACATGATATGTGAGAGGGAGACAGTGTGTCGCACAGGGGTTCGTAAACTTTCGCTCGATGGCTCTGCTTTGCCTCAGTCTATAGAATATATATTATATTATGTTGTATTATACATATATATACATGGCGAGGCGCCCAACAGGCTCCACGGGCACAAGGCCTGCCCCGGGCCCGCCACCAGCCCGGACACCAGAAGACCAAGCCCGCTTCTCTGGCTCTTGGCTTCTAAGTCTTTGTTCTTTTGCTGCAGAGCTTGGTTCTAAAGGAGCAGCTCGCTGTTCTCGTCAAAGATCTGTCATAACTTCTTGGAACTGGTCGGCCTTTTCTTGCACGTGCATGTTGAAGTGACCTTCGGGCTCTTGGAGCCTCTGTCGCAGGCGGCCTCTCTCCTGCTTTGAACTTGTGTCTTCACTATGGCTTCCTTCAGAGCAGCCCACCTCCACTGTTCACGTTGCTGTTGCGAATTGCCGTAGCTGTGTGCATGGCTTTTGTCAGCTTGTCAGGTTTGGATTGGCGCCGTGTCACCGAAACTAGAAGAACCGTTGCGACTAAAATATTGCAGGCATGATTCGCCAATGCCTTTGTCACAGTGATGCATGTTTCAGCGCCCTACAGCCTTGAGACAAACAGTGACCGCCGGAGTAGAAAGGCCAACATCCAATTTTCACCGTCGTGTCTACCTCTAGGCTCATGACAGGCATTTGCCTTACAAAGCCTTCAATGCGTTTTGTAAAGCTAGCAACGGGCGGACCCAACCCGACCCACCGGTCGAAAAGGACCGTTGGGGGTTTGCTCAGCTCATGCTGCAAAGGTCAACCAAAATAGCTGGCAACTCAATGTTGAACTTCAACCTATCCATTTTGTGCTCCCGTTTTTCCATCAGCATCAATCAAACGCTTTCAAACCTACCACAGGCTCAGCCCCAAGAAACACCAGATACAAACAACGAAGCACCCGATATAATATATATATATATCACCAGATACAAGCAACAGAGTTTCTCTGCATACTTTTCTTGATTTATTTTCATGGTGTGCCTCTCAAGCTGAGGGGTGATGCAGCAATCAAATAGATGTTTGATGGCTTAAAACAAGAGTACAATGCAAGAGCAATGTTTGTAGCGCGGTAACGTCACCAGCGCCAGCACCGACACGGAGGAACCAGGGGCACCACTAACTGAATCCAACGTTCACTGTCATCTTATGAACCTGAAACATGATCTTCTTCTCCTTCTTCAACGGCGCTGCTACTTTGTGCTTCCAACTCATGGATACAACTGTAGATGATCTTCCTCCAAAAATGTCCACCCAAACAAAACAAGAAGGGTGGACACCGGGTGGACCCGTGGCCAAATGAACGGACTCAACGGAGCTCCGGTTTCGGGTTGCTCCGTTGGTCCACTGCCCAGCACGGTGGGTGTCCACTGAGATGCCAACCTCCAGCTGCGAAGGCACCACCTCTGAGTAGCGCTTTTGGGGGAACAAGGGATGAACACAAGGGATGACGCATCCGTGAACTCTATGGCCAAAAAACCAATATGGAGGCCATCGCCAGTAGGTTGGAGGCCATCGCCATTACGGGGAGGCCATCGCAATAAGGTTCCTTAAAGTATTGTTCTATCCTTCTCTTTTGATGAGGGCCTTATCAAAGAGGCTCTTACCTGTTTTTGTTCAATCTTGGCATCTTGTCATGGCATTTTTTGTCAGTTCTTCTTTTCTGAAATCGGGCGTCCATATTTTTCCATCTATTATTCAATGTTTCTCTTCTCAATGCTACAACACGCCCCCCATCCATGGTGTCCACACGCCCCTCTCCGAAACGGGCGCCTCTAATGAGCTCATGCCTTTGTAGAGCTTCAGCCTCGCGGAAACCAAACGGCATTCCTTCAACGCCATCATAAACCATCCAATATCGTCTAAATTCATCTAATCACCCTCCAAATTAAATCAGTAGTGGGCGCCAAAGCAACAACCGCATGGATGCTGATTTTGTGTCACCTTTGTCTCCGAGGGTCCCAACGACCCTTCGCCGACCCACCACCCTGGCTATGAAGGACCCATCATCCAGCAACCCACCGCAGAAAACAACCACCAACGACCCCGATCCTGCCTGGAGCCATCATGATAGAAGGCATCTCCAGGACTTTCGGTGGTTCCCGCCTCAATCGATCTTTGCTTTGAGCTCTCAAATGAAGGCTGAATCTGGAGAAGGATGGATCTGTTTGGAGGCCCAAACACCAACGTGGGACACACCAGGCTGCGGCCTTGCTTGCATGTGAATTCCAATGTCGCCAACAAACACTCCCATTCCAAGCCTCACCTTTGCCATCTGGAAGTAGTAGCTGTTTGATGTCTGTGTTCTCAAAGGGAGTGACCGGAATATTTACGGTGTAGCAGCTTCCTGCAGGGCTCAGATTTGATGTATCTATATGTATCTTCACTCTATATGATCGAGATGGCCAAACACTGGAAACCGTTGCAAAAACGGCCAAACCACGAAACGGTGAAAGCGCTGGCGCCGGATCTGGACGTCCCCTGCCAACAGCAATCCGCACATGACAGCAGAGGCACCAAGCCTTGCTGGTGGTTTTGGGCGATCAATGTTTGACAAGTCTCAGAGACATTCAAGGTGACGAAGCAACATGATATCCCAATGTACAAAGAGAGAGTTTTTATGGGTGATGTTTTGGGTGTATCCCATCCCTGCAACAGTGGATGATGATGGGGTTGGTAAAGGTTTTTCTCAATAATAACGATAATTTTTCATTGACTGTTACAGGTCACGGGTTATCGTTGTTGATGCAATTTGGTTTTGTCGTGTTTTGTCCATGTGGCTGTACTGTGTGCACCCTCCAAATACAAACAAACAGAACCCATGAGGGAGCACCGAGTTGCCCAAAACTCCAGTGCCCTCAAGCGGTGTTGTTTTTCCACACCAACTGATTGGAGACTCTTGCACTCATTGATGAAATGAAAAATCTCAAAGCTTGTTAAAACAAATAGTCGGTCTTCATCTGTAATATAACTTGAACCCACATCCGCTGGTGACTCGAGGAGTTGAGTGCCGTGCGCCAGGGCGATAGTCGCCGCTGCACTGGTCGCAACACCTGACAGATCAATGTCCTGACTCACTCCGGATATGTATTTTTTCCCCAGAGAGCGACAGCTATGGGGTTCTTACTTAGGATACTTCAAAAAACAAAGAGCTGGCTGCGCGCGCTTTTGAGACAGGGTGCCGGTGCTGGTGCTAGCTGCGGTGCTGATGCTGGGTGCTGTGAGCTGGCTGTGCGCGGGGCGGACACAGGGTGCCGCTGCTCGTTGTGTGCGTGGTGGAGATTGGGCGCCGGTGCTGGGTGCTGGTGCTGGCTGTGCGCGAGTGAAGACACGCCGCGCTGTACCGCGGCGCTTTTTCCGGCATAAAAAAGGTTCCTGGGCGTGCTTTGAAGCTGTTGCCAATGCAGGGCACAGTCCAGAAACATGTTGCAAGTTTTTGCTATCTGGGGTCTATGTTGGTGCAATGCTTTGTTTTCCTAAAGAATGTGTCTTGTTTTTGTTGGTGCTGGTATAGCTGGAAATGCAGATTTCCGGGTGAGCAGCGTTGTGTGAAGCTCGGAGTGCACTTTGGGAAGCACCGAGCGCTGATCTTAACATGTAGGAATCTAGGTCTTATGTCAGATGGCAACAGCCTGGGGGCCCTTAGCATCCAACCTCGGGTGACTCACAGAAGATGTACTATGTTCGAATGGTCCCTTCCATCTTTAAAGGTTACATTGTCAGCGGTTTGTACACCTCGCTGATCTAAGCATTCAAGTCTTTTGTGAGATGGCAAAAGCCTGGCGGCCCTTAGCATCCGCCGTTATGGGGTTGTGGTGGTCTGATGTGTAACAGCTGGTGAAAATTCCAAAAAGGTAGTCTATGTTAAGTTGTTTTAAGTTATCTTTCTCCTCTCGTGGCAGGTGCAGCACTCTGCAAATTGTTTAAACAGTACAGTAAATACGGCGGTGCATCACCACTGATGCAGAACACCAAGAGTAGGTAAAGAATACAGAAAAGCAAGCAAACATTCATTACGCCTGCCTGGCTCAAGGACTGAACAAAGAAACAACTAGTCAAAAGCGACAGCAACAAAGATCATAGAAACAAAACTACGAAAGAGACTCACTACGCTACAAAAAGACGACAAGAAGGAGAACAAAGCCACAAAAACCAGCAAAAGCAAGGAAAGAAAGAGGATTCACAAAGAAGCAATGAAAGCAAGTTGAAAAGCAACACAAGCACAGAAAAACAGGACAAGCATGGAAAAGCAAAGAAGCAGTGAGAAGCAAGGAAAAGCAAGACAAGCACAGAAAAACAAACAAAAAAACTAAAGAAAATTGAACAAACACATCCAAAATTAAATACCCCTCCCAATCTAACCCTTGCGAGAGAGAGAGAGAGGACAAACAAAAACATAACAACACACACCATACTCAATTCCAAGCCCTTGCTGATCTACCTGGCATCTGCACGGACAGCAAGCTTCTTCGCTCTATCACACTGGAAAGCATCTTCCAGTAACTCCAGTATTCTCCAATAAGACACAAATCTGATGCAGCGAAGTTGGGAAGGCCAGCACCCCCATGGTCAAAGGTCCAACTCCAATTCCCCAAACGTTGGTTCAATCCCCTGGGAAATGCAGGTTAAAAGTTAAAAGCCGACTCGTTCTTGTTGGATCTGGCAATCTTGAAGGTTGGATCAGTTCGCCAAAAGGTTCAGCCAGTTCACGTGTACCCTACGACCACCATCGGATGAGTCAATTGGATTTTGGCCATTGGATGCCATTGGTGTCCCTGCGTAATTATTCGTGTTCGATCTTCCCATATCTTCCCATCATCTCTGCGAACCCGCCTCCATCGGCTATCACCGGCACCTTAAACCTCAAAGCGATTTCTCTTGCATTGGGCAGGAGAGTCGAAGATCAATAGGAAAGGGTCCACTGGCTTTGACCCACACCCATTTCAATATCAAGGACATCATCTGAAACTCGCCTAGACAAAGGATCTCACGAGTCTCCCAAAACAATGACGGATCCGAAAAAAGTCTCAAATTAACTCATTAAAGACAAACAAGATCAAACAAGCATACTGGATTGCCAGCATACGTCCCATCGTTTCTTTTCGGGGTCACCTGTGCTAAAACGCTGCGAGACATGGTCGACATCGTCCTGAGGTGAAGACTCACTGGCATAGCGAGCCACGTGGTACACCTGGCACATGGGAACTCTCTTCTTTAAACAAATCTTGTAAGTCGAAGGCATGAACCTTAGGACCTTAGGATGACTATTCTCCTCAAACACCGGGTTGTCCACTTCCATGATTGGAGGATAGGTGGTTGGCAGGTCAGGCAGCTCTCAGATGTGATTTCCTGCCGGAAGTCTGTTCCCCTCAGCAGTCTGTCCTCCTTGGCATGGGTGGGACGGTGGGACCTTGATCTCCAATAACACTCATGCAGGGCATGACCTCGGATGTGATTACATGGGCCATGGCACCTGGATACCGACCATGGTTGACCTACCAATACTCAAGCTACATGCTGGGCCACACCTCGCGGTTTAGACCCATCCCCACATCTTGCATCGGCTTGTGTTTCATGCCTCGCCTTTTTCTCTTGGCGGTATGTGAGCGCTGTGCTATGCTGTGCTCGTGTTTAGAGTCTACTGTGTCTCCTTGTCTTGTGTCGGGTGCGGATGTACCGTTGATGTACCTGAATAATATCAAGTAATACTGTCAGTTTGTTTGACTTTGTCTGGCTCCTTGCTTGGCTGGTTATGGTAGGTGGGTCGGGTGGTACGTTTGTTGGGTGGCTAGGCAGTGATTGGATTGTGACTGTCCATTGTGACTAGACCGACTGCGTCGTTTGTCCATCTGAACAAGCCATGATCAAATGATCAACCAAGAACGGTGGGTTCATGTGGGTTCCATATCCTCATACAAGTAGTCCTCTACCAAGCTCAAGGCCTTTTTCGGCAACCCCACCTGAAAACCAATCTACTTGGCCGCCCTGGCATCCAGCCGTCTCGCTTCCAAACAGGCTGTTGCTCACTGCACTGCCTAAGGGCCGTCCCACAGCGGGCGCCTGGCGTTTGTCCGTTGATTCGCAGGTTGATCGGTGGGGTAATCGGGGCGACTTACAATGTGAAGCCCAACAAACTATATAAATTCATGGCACCATAGCACAGGCACCATAGCACCTGCACACATTGGCACTACCAATGTGGCCCTGATAACCCTTCTCATCCCTTCTCTCCATTCGCTGGTCCTCTGGTAAAGAGTCCAGGCTACTGCAGCCCATGCCGACCTCACAGGAGGCTGTCCAAGACTCCGTCAAAAGTGCGATCGAAACCTTACGTTTGTGAGGTCATGCCTGGAGTTGTACAGAAGACCTCTCCCACCACAGAGCCAGCCGCGCGAAGGAGAAAAGCCTTATTAAGTTGCAATTAGATGCTCTAGGCTCAGAGAGGTATAACCAGAAGCTTGTTCTATGAGAACAGACCTTGTCAAATACCTTGTGGACCTTAACGTTTCATGATGCATCACATTTATTTTTCCAGACATCGCTCTATTGGAGCTGCGCTGCTTCCAACATCTATTGAGCCTGGTCCTCCGGTCCAGTCCCAGAACGGGGCGCCCCGAAAGGACAGCTCGCCCGCCAGGTGCCCGTGCACGCAGTGCGTCAGCACCCGCTTGGATCAACGGAGAGGCCTGCGTTGTGGACGCTTGGATCAACGATGGTAGACACATATCACATGCATATCCCTATGGAGTCTTGTTGTGACACAGAAATATTTGACATGGAATGGAATGGGTCACAATCAAAAGATCGGCTATGGAGCTGTCGAATAACTTGTCACGTAGGATGTTCATTATGTTGCATAGTTGCACAGACTTGACTTACATCGCAAAACCAGGACACAACAGAAACGTGCCGCTTCATCGCCCAGCGCCAAGAAAAATACGCGCTTTCCGAGATCGACACCTATACAGTACTATACCCTTTACAAACCGTGGAGCAAGAAGTTAGACCACGTTTATAACAAAAAATCCATCATATTCCCCTTCCGAACATGAGAAAAATAACTGGAGGTCCATGATGGTCCATGTTCCTTCCGCCCTCCACGAAAACCACAACCGAAAACACTGTGTTTTGTTGTAAAGAACATCAACAAATCACTCAGGGGGGTACCACCCCTAGGGGGTCCACCCCCTATAGCTTCATGAGCACATGAGACACATGCATCGACACACGACAACACCTGCCTGCTTGGGAGTGACCACGTTGCCGGCCACGACGTCCAAGCCGGGGAACTGGTATTTCACCTCTGCATGTGGATTCAGTCAGAATACGACCCCCATGAAGTACAAAGTGTGACCTGTATCACAAATCCCTCAAACAAATCATGGCAATGGTTAACACTGAACCCCCGCAAGACCAACTATTTTGGGTAAGACTCTCGACTGTACCGGCCTCATCCCACCGGTTTCGCTCGCGCACGCTTCGCCTTGCGGATGAACTCCGCTTGCTCCTCCAAGCGGCTTCGGGAAGCCTGGTGGCCAGGCGCTTTGAACTGGACTAGATCCCACAAAACAGGATGAAACCCGTTTTGCCGGAAAGGAAAAGAGATCAAGATGAAGCATTATGACTTATGAATGAAGCTATGTGCAGTGCTTGGTGTTCTTCACAGGACTGTATTGCAGCGATGTGCAGTGTTTGGGGGAGGCCTTCACACTTTTGGGGATACTTGTTTGTCACATAGACTGGCCACTGGCTACATGCTTGAACCAATGATCCCTGCAGATCCCTCAAATCAAACCGAAGAATGCACGGACTCTTCGAGAAGACCCGCTGTCCGAACCTCCAAGAAGAGCACATCCATCCCCGCCTGGCCAGCTCAGCTGCCAAGCTCGTTCTTTTTTTGGAAAGCCGGCTATTCCGAGGAAGAAGGTGCTCAAAAGCCATACATATAGGTGAATCACTAGGTGAATCTACCATAGCATTCAAAGCTAGTTGAGGAAAGTGGGGACTTGCACCTTAGAGCGGCTATGACTTCAGAGGACTTCCCAAACATCACTGCTCAAACGACAAAAGAACCACTTTGGGTGCTGAAAGAGTAGATTCAGAACCAACCAGAACCAAAGGACATCTATGTCTACTAGTATCTATATAGTGTCTCGTGTGTGCCTTTCTCAGTCAATACAAACTCATTGCAACCAAAACTATTCGCCTATAAACAAAACAACACACATGAACAAGCACACAATAATACACGCACATTTATAAATATAAGCCATCGCCTTATATTCACGATTACCCCTATCAACATATTCTCTGGGAGACACCCTTCACCCCCAAAGTCGACCGTCTCGCGCCTCGACCAACCGCTGCACGCGCTCCATCTCGGAGACCTTCGGCTCCACCGCGGCGCCCACCAGCAGCTGTCGATTCGCATCCTGTCAACCGCTGTGTGGTCTGAAAAATGAGAGGGGGTGACAGGACGCAAGCGTGGTTGATGTTCCATACAGAACACATGAAAACGTGATGAAGACATATCTTGGTTTGTGAATTCTCTTTTTATAGCCAGATTATGCAGTCAGATGATAAATGAACATGCAAATAGGTTCATCTGGCTTCTGAGATAAGACACAGTAGGATCTGAAGAAGATTGTGCATCAACCACATGGGGATCCAGCAGGGTGATCATCTACGTATCTTATGGTATCTTGTGGTTATATTACATCTCGCTCAGCACTCAATGTTGTTTAAATATTCCGAGTGCTCCAAAGGGTAAGTAGATGACCCAAAGGTAAATGTCTCCGAAACAAACACACTTGCATTGCCCGCGCGACCTTCAGTGAGATTGGCCCCACGTGAGGCCTTGAACAAACACGGCATCCCTCATCCTTTTGTATTTTTTCGTTTAAAAGCGATGTTTCATCAAGGCAAGATAGGCAAGTCAATCTATACTTTTGGGGGTCTATGGGGGGTTCAGCTGGGGCACTTTCTTTTCTGTGCCCAAGGAACCCTGGAGATCTCTGGACCATCCTAAACACACGAGAAACAAAAAACGTCCAGCGCCCAGCGAACCCGAGCACCACGCCGTTCCTTGGCGGCGTTTGGGAAGTCTTTGAGCTTTTTCAGGTCCGACCTCGTCACAAGAGCCACCAGCTCACCATCCTGGAGACAGACGCTGCGTCAAGGCATGTCAAGGCGTTTCTTCTTTCAAGGCGCTTCGTACGGGACCCAGCGATGCCAAGTCGGCCGTCTGAGGGGGATTGGGCCTTACATATGTGGGTCAAAACGACAGGACCAGGGCTAACACGACTTGCGGACACACTCCACGCGCTACCCTCAACATCCCTTGGTATACGATGGTATACGGTGATACCGGGTATGAAGGGTGTGAACAGAGAAGAGAGGCCTAATGAAACGAATCAACGAAGGTATGATTTGTATCAACGGACACATTAAATGGACAGTCATGGACCCAGTGGTTAAATCACACTAGCTACACGACAAAAGACTAGGACAGGATCACGTGGATGAATTCATATGAATTCGCTTATTTATGCACTGCACTGCATGTTGTTGAGAGAAGCTAATTGGCATACGGATCTGGTATTACATCGTACGGTTTCTTTTTCCGTAACTTGCATCTCACACCTTCCATTTCAGTTCTTTTAAATCTCTGTTCGTAATGGATCTCTTGGTGTGGTGGGATTGTGAGGGAATCGCGGCAGTGGTCGCATCCGTATTGAACGGGGGGTTATGGTGCGAATCTGCCTGGTAGTCGATGATTGCCTGAAGTGTTGCTTTGGAATTTGGTAGTATAGGTCGATAAGGCATACCCCGACAAATTTGTCTCTTAAAACCTGCATAGTCTTTCTAGGCTCTTTGCATCCTGAAGTTTGTAATTGGGAATGAGGTCGATCTGTGCAAAGGATTCAATATGGCAATATGGCGGAGGATTAAGCGAAAGGTCTCTGCTTGGAGTTTTAAGGATCGTTTGTGTCCTGGAAGAACTGTTACTCTCGTATCTGCTGGATCCAGAGCTTCAACATTCCATCGTGTATGCTGTATCGGGATGGGTAGAGAAATACCTGTGGCGAGCATGAAGCTCACTGCGAGTTCTGTCCATGTGACACCAGGATCGTTAACTTCAGGTATGTGATCACGTGGTGACCATTGAATTTGCTTTGAGAATATCCATACTGCGACGGCAATGCGGCGGCCCAAATACACTTCCTTGAATGCGAACATCACAGTAGTTAGCGTTCCAACTTGACATCATGGCTACGAATGAGCCATATGTCGGTCGTGAGTATTTTTGTGTAGTGTTTTGAGACTTCTGTTGTCTTGTTGAGATCAATAAGATATACAGTAGCCAAATCGCCAGGGTTATGGACTGCTCATGGCAAATTACTTTATCTGCTATCGAGATCTGACTTTTGAATACTGGTAGGTCTTGTTGTCGGCATGCCACCGCTGCTTGATCTACCCAGAATCTCGAGAAGTTCTTGGTAATTCCGAGCATCCTCAAGTTTCTTATGCGATGTTGCTTTACGGATGACAAACTTTCCTGGTTGCCATGCTGCAATAATTTTGTTGAGAAGGTCAGAGTGTGCGTTTGTCTGATCTGCTTTTATAAAAATGCCGTTTGCCAACGACAGGACCCTGGATGACCACCAAAAATGAACAGAATGGACATGAGCCCACCAGGTTCAAGGCCGCAGGGCTCAGGGTGCACGAGACACCCAGGGTCGCTGGCTAGGTTCTCGTAGACCTAGGTGCGACGTCGACAAAGTCGCCTTTCTTTTAGGCTTCATCTCGGTCCTTGTGATGTCGAGCCTACTTGTGCCTCAGACTGGGTTTAGAGACGATGTGATGCCCCGCTTGGTCGCAATGATTCGTTCGAAGTTGGTTGAACCTTGGCAATCCCGGGTGATTGAGCTGGTTGGTGCTCTCGGGACGGCAGGCTTCCGTGTCTGCTTTTCAGGGATGTGCCTCCTCCAAGGGAGGATTGTGGACATTGCTGAGGACGGTGTGAAGCTTATTCCCAACCTTTTCTGCCCTGGAATCGGATTTGTGGAGAAGAATGAAGTGTTGTGGGAAGTGTTCATTCCCAAATTGTCCTCTCGATCGATGCGTTGGGAGTCGGGTGATTCGCTCACTCTATTCGGCAAGTTTGAGTCTTTTACTGATGATGCCATTGTCTTTTGTGAGGATGTTTGCCTGACGCCGACTCCGAAGTGGGACTGGGAATCGCCGGTGAATGCTTTTCACCTGTTTTCGGGTTCTTTTGGAGGTTGGTCCCAAGCGTGTGAGTGTCTTTTTGAGAATGCCTCATGGCCCCCTCTTGGTCAGCAGGTTTGCATTGACAGTGATCCAGTCACGATGGATCAATGGTCTAGACAGGTTGGTGCACCGTATCATCAGGGGAGGACGCCATCCTCCCATCCATGGAACCCAAGCAGTCATATTGGAGTCTGCACTCCTGTGGATGATATTTCGTTCATGCATCAGGTGAGCTTTCTTCTGAACTCGGTTGGAACGGCTTCACCACCTTGTGTCTCTTGGAGCAAAGGGGGAAAGTCACAGGGGCTTAATTCCGACCCTGGTTTTGCCTTCGTGGAGGCTGTGATTGACATCCTGGCCTTGAGACCAAACCTTCAGATCTTTGAATGTGCCGACGAGATTTGCCAGCATCACCACTTCGGGTTGGTCTCTCACATTCTTAAGCTGGGGGGTTTTAAACGTGTCTGGCAACAGGTCGTGCAATATCACCATCTCTCCGACAACAAGAGAGATAGATGGCTTTCGGTGTGGATTCGTGCCGACCATGAGCATGAACAGAATTCTCGTCAGTATAGCCTTTGTGCCGAGGTCAAGGTCCCATGGCATAGTACCCTCTACTCGTTCGCTGTGCCTCAGGAATTTCAGGATGGTTTGCGCCTCACGGAGAATATGATGGAGGTCTATGGTTCTCGCCAGTTCCTGCCGCCTGCAAAGAAGGCTCGACTTTCGACCGTGATAGATAGGGAACATGTTGTGATGCACAGGGTCGCCTCGAGGTCGGAACCCTTGCCCACCTGTTGTGCTATGTATGGGAGGCAGCATGAACTAGATTCGATGCATCTTGCCCAAAAGGGCATCTTCGCTTCGCTTGTTGTCCATGAGGGTTCTTTTTCCCTGATTGAGCCCACTCGTATTGCTGCTTTACTTGGGGGGGTCAAGAGAGTCTCGCTCCCAGTGGATCCCATTGAGGCCTTTCATGGTTTCGGCAATGCAATTTCGGTCCCGCAAGCCGCTCTTGCTTTGCTTGTAGGGCTCCAAGCCATCAATCAGGAACATCTCAACATTGAGAATCTTGTTCACAAGGTCTGGAACAGTCGTCTTACCACTCAGAATGCTGTCATTGTTGTTGAAGGGAACTTTTTATCCTTGTCAAAGCTAGCCTTCTCTGTGAAAGGCTTTCGTTTCGACCTTTCCCGATGGCCGGTGGTGCTTTGAAGTTCGTTCTCACGCCCATCAGTGGTTCGGAACATGTTGAAGGATCTTGCAATGGAGACTTGACTGTTGCTCAATTCCTCTCCTCTTGTGTCCCCCTCGCGACACATACTGCTTCTCAGTTCACCCTTCGGCATGGACCGGTGGTAGCGTCAGCTATTGAATCCATCAATGACTTGACACTTTTGTCCTGGTCGTGGGAACTATGTGCCGCTGCAACCACTGTCGCCACCATCCATCTGGCAGAGAGCAACAGCATATCTGGTGATCCTGAGGTCTCACCTACGTGCCCTTTTGCTACTGTTGATCAGATTGAGACGATCCAGGTGCCGGACTCATTGTTTGACCAGGAGAGTGTGAAAGATGATTTTCTTGCGTTGATCAAGTTCTTTGAGACCGCCTCCGAGAATGGCCTCTTTGGACAGATTGAGAATGCGATCCCCACAGTGCTGTGTTGTGTGGACCCTCAGATCGTGTTTGTCACGTCCAGAGCCGATGGGACTGACTTTGAAGAAATCCACGGAATTCTCCATCGTTTTGGATTCTTCCAGTGGAGTTTCCACCACCTTGAAGGTCGCTCTGTTCGGCTGCCGCAGCACGAGTGGTGGGTCCTATCTGACCCGCGGTCATCGCAGAACTGCATTATCTTGGAGAACCTCACGTCGATCATTGATCTCCAAGTCATTGAACTCAAAGGATTCGTCACTCCTCAAACGCGTGTGGTTCGGCAAGAACAATCCTACCTCATCCAGCGCATCAATGGGACCACGTTTGATGGTCTCCAATCACATGAGTGCAAGAATGGTGACGTGTTTTCTCTGGTGCATCAAGATCCGCAGCTTCGCCGGGTGGAGAACACTCAGAGAATCTTCGCTGGTGGACATCCTCAATCGGATCATGTCACATGGCATTTGAGATCAGGAGCCAATCTCTCAGAAAGGTGTGAATTTGCCATCAATACCAATGGCTGGTGTGCCTCCGACGAGCTCCTCTATGCCATGAAATGGTTGCTCATGGATCAAGAGGCTCATGCAAGATCATTCGCAATTGTTCAAGAACAAGAGTCTGACTTTGATGAGTCTACGTTTGCTTTCCCGCAGGTTCACCCTGACTCCACTACGTGGTTTGCCATCCTCTCTGGTAGCCATTGGTTTGGCAGTGAACTGACCCGGTGTGGCGATGAAGTGCAGATCACTTTCCTCGGCCTAGACAGTCTGAAGGCTCACCGACTGACTCAGATTTTTGCTCGCAGGTTGGACACCACTGGCCGCAAAATCCAAACCTTCGTCCATGCTTTCCCTCAGCCGTTCAACATGTGTGGGTGGGCGTTGCTTTTCCGATGGTTTGAGAAGCTTCACCAACATGATCAACTCCACTCTTATGAAGAGGATCTTGAGGACTTGGTGGAATGGAAATATACGTTGATTCAAGATGTCCTTTCCAGTTCCATCGAAGATTGGATTGCTGCCGATGCACCTCCGGAGCTTTGGCACTTCGCTCACCAGATCAGGCTGGGATGCTTCTACCATATGGCTATGAACGAGAATGACGCTGCACCGGTCATTGATCACGCTGTCGTGGTGGAGCTGCCCCGTGGCCCTTCGCTGTTGCTTCCTGGCAGGGTCCTCCTCTATGATGAATATGACAGATTCATGAAGGAGTTCCAGAAC